TTTTGCTTTGAATTTGTAGAGAATGTTTCCTCAGTCGCGAAAATTAATCGTCACGGACCGGATTGATTTTAAACGGACGAATCGCTAATAAAAGATGACGCAAATAATAGTTGGTTTACAATATATAAGGGACCTTTGCACTAATATATATTAGTACATACGTCCTTGTATGTATAAATTGAATTTATGAAAAGTGTATCTTGGGATCCTTGCTTAGAAATATGGATACTAATGGCCTTGCTGAAAAAGTATTTTGATAAAATTCTATGTAGAATATTATCCCCTGCTGAGGCCCCATCTTACCCCCTGGGGCCACATTATGAACTAACAAATTTACACTTCATAGAGAGGCTTGCATGTATGACTAATCATGGCGTCGCTGTTCCTGAGATGAAGATTTTTTTTTAAATCGTATATTTTTTAATCGTAAACTCTTTTCCCCATTGTTACCATAATGAAATATGTAGAGATAAAGAAAAGCATTCGAGCTCAAAAGTCCATTAAACATTACAAAATAGGAGCAGAGCAAACACGGACCTCTAAGACATCAGAGGTGGGATCAGGTGCCATGGAGGAGTGAGCATCCCCTGCCGATCGGTCACACCCGCCGTGTGCTTCTTGTGATGATCGGGAAATAACGGGAAAATCCGTCGACAATTCAGTGTGTAATTAATGGCCTAACAATTAGTATGAAAAAAGTCAGTCAGCATTTAACTTAATGATAGAATGTATTTGCTGACAAGGTCATTGTATCGACCATAGAACTTACGAAATGATGACTTTAAACGAGATTGCTGATATTCTTGTTTCATCAACTTGTTTGCCAATAATTTACCTCGCTTTAGAAACTGTTCATACGAAGAACATGCTCTGGCGTATCGAATCAACTGAGAGATATAAACCCGGTATGCAGGTGATAGGGTATATTGCTGCATAAGTAAGGGAAGTTAACGATTGACAAGTTAAAGTCATCACGTTTATCATAAAGCTTTGATGTTAGATTACCATTAACATCTTTTCTAATAAATTATCCAAATATGAAATAGACGTGGCAGACCCTGTGGTATCTTTTATCTCAAGCTCACCGGGATATATCTTGTCGACATAACAATGGAAATAGTCATTGTTAATTGACAATGCATCGTCGATATATCTAAAGGTCGAGTTGAAGGCCACAGCAAGTGTTTTTTTTTTCTTTTCACATAAAAGATTTTGAACAAATTCTGCTTCATATATATAAATACAAAAATAGGTCTGCTAATAACGAGGCGCAATTGGTACCCATGGGAATTCCAATAGATTGTTGGAAGACCTGGTCTCCAAAAACCACATAGATATTGTCAATCAGAAACTCAAGCATCTTTTTAATGTCAACTTCAGAGTACTTGTGTGTACAATCAAATTGTTTTTTAACAAAGTAATTTTGCAAATGACCAATGACAAGGTAAGTAAATTTACGAGTTCCATTTTTATTGAAAAAGCAGTTGTCAACGATGTCAGAAAATCTGGACTTTAATTTATCGTGGGGAATAGTTGTATATAAAGTTGAAAAGTCGTCAGTTTTTAAGCTATTGATTTTGGTAAAATTTTGTAATTTCAAATGTTTCAAAAGTTCATTGGAATTTTTAAGTATCCACATCTGATTTACACCACTTCTCGAAAATATTGTTGCACAGTACTCTTGAAGTTTTTCCTTCACTACTGTTAATATCTTGGTGAGAAGTAAAGAAAGAGGCTTGGTAGAACATTTACTGGAACTCTCTATGTGTCTTTGTTTGTAAGGATTTTTATGAATTTCGGAATCCAGTATAGATATGGTAATTCGAATTCATTTTGACTGTTTGGAATATTAAAAAATATTCAAAACTGACATATGATTTTGAAGAATTTCCTCCTTAGAAAGGGGGCTATGGGTATAAGTTTGATTTCCACTTGCAGAATTAAATTCCAGTTTCTCTAAAATACAATTTATATAATGAGCCTTACAAACAAAGACAATGTTGTTACCTGCTTTGTCAGCAGGGACCAGTACGTACTGATCGTGTAATCTATCTAATTCTTTTTTCAATTCTGAATTATTGAATACAGAAGGATAGATGGTTTTCATACTGCCCCTCAATCGTTTAATGGGAGATTTTAACATATATCTGATACATATAATCCATTCTGACAAATTGTCAAGGTCTTCTTCATTTCTTTTCTAATCTATCTCTAGGTGGCATGATTTGAGGAGGTTCTAATCAATATAACCTGGGTGTGTTTGCATATTGAATTGAGGTGAGTAATCATTACTGTTCTTGAAAAGTTGTTACTAAGAAGTTTTTTATCCTTATATGATCACATGTAAAAAAAATCATTTTTGAGTTCCTATTGTGGTCCTCCTTTGTCCCAAATAGCATTAGCTGAATTAACTTTAACACCTTTATAGAAAGCTTGCACATAAGTTTTATTCTTTACATTCCCGATGCATATGGCTCTTGAGAAGTGTTTTAGTCACATGCCCCTATATTCATACCTGCGCTCACTTAGAAAGTTCAGGCGTATAATTATTGTAACAAGTTGAGTGGACCCTTGCAGTTGTCACAAAATAAAACTCTGTCAAACATATTAAGTTTTTATTGAGGATAACAATAATCAAAAACAATAACAACGAATGAGATGCTAACCATTCAGACAATGTCCTGTACCTGTATATATAAAAATGTCTCCAACACTCAATGCTTTCAACTAATCGGGTTACCTTCTTTAAATAAAGTATTATTATTATTATTATTATTACAATAGGTGACCAAAAAGCGGGTTAAACTTGATTCTACATTCTACAGTTAATCAGTTTATTTTAACAAGTATCTGAAAAAACCCTCGTTCTCGAACTCCAAATAAAACAACTTTGCATTATTATTCCCGATTTCCGGATAACCTGAAATAAAACCCTTCATAAACATGAAATGAACAGTACAGTTGTTGGAATAGCCTTTATAATATGAACACTAAATTATGTAATTAGTTTAATAACTGAAAACATCTAAAATTTCGTTATTTAAAAAATTTAGATGTGAATGAAAGTGCTTTCTAAAGTAGTGCACGCAGCGATGTATGTACATATGGAAGTGTAGCTTTATAACTTAGTGAGTCGAGGAGATCGATGAAATAAGACAAATTTGCATCATCAGAAGATACAAATAGACAAAAATGGTGGTCAGCATCATATTACAATAACTCAGGATAAAAATAATGTGCAACATAGTTAAATGATGAAAAGTCAGGCAGCAGAATCACAAGGTAAAAGATCAGTAGTGAAGCGGTTAGTCAGACGAAGGAAACACATGAGTTAAGTACTTAAGAAATTGTAAAATGACGAATACATTAAGAAATAAGTATTCAAATAACTAAAGACTTTAATTATAATTATAACTATAATTCATCGAGACTATAATTATAGTTGGAAAGCTGTAATTTACTTTTGAATATTATTTCGCAGTATTAATTTCTAAACAAATGATCAAAACTGGGGGATGTAGTCAAAATACTACAGGTAATATTGTATGTTTTGTTAACCAAATCTAGTTTAAGACATAATAAATATCGCTTAAGCTTAATAAAACACTTTCGAATCAGTTATATTGTTCCAAAATGGATGAACTCTAACAATATAGATATAACCATATGAAGGTCTCATATATCATATTATTTTCCTGGCCCGTACGTCTGTCATACAATCTAATTAAAATTAGATCTTTGTTACGCTATGAAATTACATGTACGCTGTACATCGACATCAGAATTTCGGAGCGTAACAAAGATCTTATTTTAATCAGATTGGTCTGTCATATTAACTTTTTCCTCAAATTCTCTTACTTTTTAACACAAACTCATCTTTTGCAATATAATTTATAATGGTGTGTAAGTGTGCTGTAAGATAAGGAATTTTCATTTTCATCCTGAGGACCAATTGTGGATCGAATACAGAAAACTCCTACCCAGAACTCTTACAATTTAAAAAGAAACCAAAGCATCTTTTTGGAAAATGATTAGTGGTTTTGTAGATTTCCAATATGGTCTCAGAATTTTAAATTTCACCCTAGGAGCAAATCGGGGGGGGGGGGGGCGAAAACGATGCTTTTTACTAAAATTCTGGTTCCCAAAAAGCCCCTCTTATTTTCTGTAGTAACCAAAATATCTTTTGGAATATGATTGGTATTAGCCTAAGTGTGCAATAAGGTTAGCAAATTCGCCCTAAGGGTCATCAGTTTATTGTCGAGAAGAGACGTTTTCTTTGTTAATTTGGATCCTTAGAATATGACAAAGGGACTGATATCATATACATACTTTGAATTTCGTCTTGATTCGAAGGATGTTATTATCACTAGCAGACTTAGCCTATTTGATTTCAGCACGTGTCTGCACTGAATTTCACACATTTTTATTCTTATAGTACCTTATACTAAATTTTTAATTTTAAAGTATTTAATTGAATTGTCAGAAAGATAAAGTCTAAAAAGTATAAGCCACTTAGAATTCTACACACGTATATGCTTGGAATTGCATTCAATTTTGATAGTTGCATAATGTGAACAACCATTATACCTATCAATATTAAAAGTTTCATCCTGTTGCGTAGAAAAAAGAAATAGCCATTAAAAGTTTCAGCCGATCAAATTGCAGTACACGAGCATGCGTGGATTAGAGATTTCAAAAGTCTATAGGTAGATTTCCTTGCTGAAAATTGGTCATTCGACTTGAAACTCGAACTTGACCTGCAAGTCATCAATAAAAAAATTGTCAAACACAGCAAAACAATCCTGAAAACTTACTTTGATGAATGGAAAGGTATCCATTTGTCCTGACCAATTTATGGAATGGGCATATTCACGTGTCTCCTTTGCTATGCTTAACAGAGCTTTATATTCCTCCTACACTGAATTTCATAGAATGATACAAGAGTCTTTTCTCCGATTTCTATCCGGAACAGACCTAAAATTAGAGGAGGGTGTTCTGTCTTACAAAGGCGTCTGTTTTGAAGAAGTTGGGTGATTGTTGTAAACTTTATCGCTATCAGAAGAAACTTTGGAGAAGTTGGTGTGAACCGGAGAACTTGGATTTATCAAAGAAGAATGTTTTGTCACGTCACTGGAAGGACTACTACTTGCGGTCTGAATAGCGGCAGATTGACCTCGAACATTACTGATATTCTCTGAGATGGTTGCTGGCATTGATATGTTTTCCTTGGTGACATTTGAAGTATTTGCTTGATTGTTACTCACAAACCTTGATTTACTTGAACTTGAATTCATCAAAGAAGAATGTGTGGAACTGTATTTTTGAGAAGTGGTTGAGCTCGTTTGGTCACTGGTAGGATTTGATCTCCCAACAGAGGATGGCAAAGCAGATGACGAGAATCCACCATATGCTTGTGAACTTGCAGGAACTTTCGACACACCACCAAAATGAATGCTACTTGTAGTCTTGATGCCAGCGGATGGAACTTGAACACCTCTGCTATGCCCTGAGGTGGTTGCCGGGACCAATTTATTTACTCTGGTGAAACTCGAGGTATTTGCTTGTTTGTTGCTCGCAAATATTGGCCAATCTACTGAATTTTCTTCGGGAATTTCCTTATATGCAATAAGGTACTCGGGGTAGCATTGGTTTCTGTCAAAAACAACAAATATTGAAGGATTTGTGACGTCATCCACACAGGAATCATATCTTTTGTGGCCTTTGCCAGGAATGATTGGTGGGCACGTTATGTCATGTTTTCCCTTTACGTAGTCTCCGATCAAAACTTTTGCTTTAAACATTAAACGAACAGAACCTTTTGTGTAATTGTTGCTGTACTTTGCTGAAACTGCAAAGTAAGAACCTTTTCCATAAGCTGTTGCATTTTTTCCGCTCAAACGGAAATCAAAATTGTTGGTACAGATACCGTAACAAGTGTCAAAAGAATCGGTACCATGAAAGAGACTTCTCTCATCAATTCTTCCACTTTTTCTCGATTGAGTTTTTTCCATATTTGCTCTCTTCCTGAAAAGGAATAAAATTTTGATCATTTTTAAAGATACGATGCCAGCGCCAACAGAGTAAGCAATGCATTTTAGTTTCAAATTATTTCAGGTCACAGTGAAACTGTTTGATCAAACTGATATAAAGAGTATATTTTTTGTTCAAGCTAGAATGAAATATTTTGTTTTAAATACAAAGTTTTTTAGGAAGCTTATTTTCTTATTTGCTTAATATTGCATCAAACCGATATTTCTGAAAATTTACCAAAAAATTAAACTTGCATGGATAAAAACCCAATTGAATTAAATTATATTTAAAAGTCATTAATTACATAAATGTATTTTAATTCAGATTTCTATCTCTGAAGTATTTCATTTATTCTTCTAATTATCGTATGCTAAAACTTGACGTGGTTTTGATTCATTTATAAGGTTGATATACTACAAGTTCTTAGTGTAAAACATTAATTCATATGTAAAAGCTTTTCAAACACGTGCAAGTTGAAAAATAGATATAATGAATGAGACTAAGGAAAAATGCAAAAAAAAATATCTTTTACATTTTGTATTCATTCCACAGGCTTAAATTCTGAATACGATAGATGTTGCTTATTTGAAACTTCCCCTTTCTGAGTGTTGTATAGAATTCAGTCTCGACACTGTTAAATTCTCTGCCTGTTTTCTCTAAATCGACCCATTCAAAGTCATGTGCTAGGTCTAACGAATCCCATCCAGCAGGATAGGGTTCAGGAATGGCAACATCCAATAATTTTGGACTGAAACGAGAATGAAAGTGTTATTTTGAAAAATAAACAAAGAAAGATAGAAAAAAAAAGCACGACAAAGAAAAAAATTGTATTATTTATTGAAACAATTTCAAAGGATAATGAAATATATATGAAGATAACGAACAGAAGTCATGGTCAAATGTCCATTGGAACAATACAAGTTGAAAGTAGAGCAAACACGGACCTCTGAAAATATCAGAAGTGGGATTAGGTGCAATGGAGGAGTACGCATCCCCTACACTGTCGACAGGTTACACCCTCCATGTGCTCTTTATCATGATCGGGCAAACGGATAATATACTTTCTACTTGTAAATATTATTTAATATTTTCCAATTCAAACTCACAATCGTCTTGACTGTACTTCAGCTAAAGACACAAATAAGGGTCTTCTTCGAATCTTGCGAACCTTCTTAGTGTCAATATTTATTTGCTTCCACTCTGTAAACTCCACTCTGTACTTTAATCTGTGACTCTCCCTGGTGAATAGATAGCTTTTCTGCCCTGATAAAAATTTCTTCTCTAGTGTATGTTGTAAAGTGTCCTACAAAGTTTCAAGATCTCCCATGAAAGACGTGCCTATAAGATAACCAGCTACGAATCCTTGGGATAAATCTATAAATCTTTTATTTATAGGGTATGTGTATGTAAAATTAATAATTTTGGCAAATCTATACATATCTAATCAAATTATCTCATTTTTAAATGCAATTCTGAATTATGGCTATATGAGATACAAAAAAAGTAATCCCCTTTTAACAAAACTTTTAACAAAAAATAATAACAAAGTCGTCAAACTTAGCTATCAAATAGTCATATATATATATATATATATATATATATATATATATATATATATATATATATATATATATATATATATACTGTATATATACATGGTGTATATATATATATATATATATATATATATATATATATATATATATATATATATATATATAAGGGCACCAAATACGAAGGCACAGTAGCTGTAGTTCCCAGGTAAACATCGATACGAGTGTTGATAAACAGCACAATTCTACTGATATTTGAATCTAAGTTTATCTTTACTTACCGTTTCGTACTGCATCCACTGTCCAAAGTCATTTTTAAAATACCACCTCCATTGTGTGTAAAAGGAACCTATTTTAAGTGGAATGTTTTCTTCGGCATATGATGCTGTAGTGAGTCGCCGGTATGATATATTGACAGAGTTTCCAGCCATGTCAATAACACCATATTCCTTTCTGAAGTTAAGAGTGATTCTCTCTGTGTTTTCCAGAATAGTAAGCTGCAAAAATCGCAACACATTATAAAATACAAGGAGTGCACTTCGGTTTCTTTTTTCTCTTTAATATTAAAAGCGATTGCATTAAGCTAGATCTGATTAGTAAAGCTGAACACGACTCGTAAATACTAGTAGGCATACGCCATTTTCGATATTACTATCTGAGATATCTGCACCGGGGTATACTCTTCGCATTCGTTACACTTGACTGCTTTATTGTCACGGATATCGGCGTGGAATGGCGACCCGTGTTCGTGCTGGTTATCTTGCATTACCTTTGTTTGCATTTTATTGCAGTACGTGTATTTACAAGTGTTTGTATATTGCTCTGACCTGTGCAATTGTTGTAAGTTTCTTTGGTATCTTTCTCTCCTGCATTATAAGAAGTATATTTTGTCGCTACCGAGTGCTTTATAGCATACGTCCGTCTACACCGGTGACTATTGATTACACTGAACACTGACCAAGTCAGCGGCTTTATATATGGGCCCTCAGCTAGTCGAATATGTCGGACACATTCCTTTTACGAATCATGTTCAGCTTTTTTAGAGAGTACATGTATCTTATATTAACTTAGTTTAATTTCAAAATACACCTCTTCAGTAGCAATGTCTTCCATACTACTGTAACTTTGTTCAAGTTTTTGATTTCCGTCGTCATGAAAGCTTATCCAATCTCCAAACACATGGATCTGCCAGAGGTAGGGTAGTCGTGTGTGGTGCTTGTTACAATCTCTCTCTTGACAACTTCCTGTCAAACCATTCAAACAGATGTTTTGTTTATGAGCATCCGCATCAAGTATGCTTCTGGATTCCGAGTGGTCTTTTTCTAAAATGAAAATAATATGAACATTTTTTTTTAAAATGATATTGGAATTATTATATCCCTATCATGTCATTAGATTATTCAAATCCTCAAAGGAAACTATCATCACCTTTTCCATTTTTTGATTTGTACCAGTGTATATTTATGTATTCAAAAAATCAGTTAAACAAGTGTTGAACGAGTTGAGTATGCTGAAGAACTTTCCTCTAAAACTTACGTGTGGAAACATTATTTAGTCCGCTAGGGATCGGATATTCTCTTCTTGCTCTGAAATAACTTCTGGCTGGTCTTTGCTCTTTTTCACTTAGCCGTGCTTTAATTTCCATATCATAATTCGTGCTTTTTTTGAATTTATTTGTCTTATCAGCTACAAACGTTGGATGTGTTGATGGAGTTTGACAAAGATACGTAACGCTGAGTTGTCGCCGTGGCATATTTATCAACAACTTGAGCAAGTATAACTTTTCCCTTGGCCACCTTTCCATTTTGTACACGGAAAGAACCCATCTATTATGCGGCGTCTCGAATGAGTGTCCTCTTTCGCACTCAGGATCTTCACATCTATTTGATATAAAATTGTAACAGATGTGAAGATATGGACAATCTTCTCCTGCCATACATGATCGTGCGCGGCAAACCTGAGGGTACCGGCATAAAAGTATTACTATGATTTCTTCGTCATTAAAATCTTCGAGTCCAAGTTTTTCCTTTATCTTTTTATTATGTTCGTTTGTGAAGTCGTGCTCTTTCCTACATCTGTAACCATTCTTACAGAATCCATTTAGATAGAATTTACAAATGTGAAAATGACAGCAATTTACGCGACTACATTCTTTTTCTTTTCCGATCCCACTGTGGTTGAAGCAGAAAGTTGCATTTTTATAAAAGGGACCGATGCACTTAGGCTTTTCCTCTCTTTTGTAAACAATTAGTTTCTCATTGCATTTCAACAGCCATTCAGTAAAGTCTCCTGGTAAATGAAGGTTTTCTTCCCTGAATTTTGATAGACTTGATATCCCTCCCGTTCTTTTCACAAGAAACTTAAATACAGTTTCTTCGGAAAAATCAAGAATGTCAGAGCTGGTATCTGCACTTTCTATGGAATATTCATTTTCTGCCCTTGTATTTCTATGCCTTTTCGATTTTCTTGATATAAAGTGTTGACATCCAGATGCATATCTGCTCCGTACACCATAAGTTTTGCAGTCCATGTTTTCGAACTCATCTTCAGACATTTCATCTGCACTCTTGATGTATTCCTCTTCCATGTGGTAATACACTTTACTTTTGTAATTTCTTCTTCTGGCCCTTGCAGATGGTTCGTCAAGAAAATTTTCGACAGAATCACGGTGGTTCATCGTCATTGACTTCATTATTCTTCTTCCTCGATATGTATTCATTTTTTGATTAGATTTCTGATACTCCCTAGCTTGTACTTTCATCTTCCATCTGAAAATATATATATATATATGGTTAGTGCGACATCACACAAAAATAGCAATTACTCACAATACTAGTAGATGACAATTAGCAATATTAATAAAATGCATTTTATTAATACATGTACTGTTAAAGCAGAAATATTTGTTGGGGATTAAATTTCGTTTATTTCGTTGCCTACAATTATCAACAAAATTAAATCCCAGATGAAATTTTCATATGACTTTATATTGAATGGGGTAACCTTCGAAACAACGAATTTATATGCCCACAAAACATTTGTATAGCTCAAATCAACGAAATTTCATTCCAACGAAAATTTGTGCTTCTAAAGTATTAAACAGAACACTATTTACAGATTAGATAGACCATTAATACCAATGCAAAACCTTTGTTAAGTGCCAATATTCAATATTTATCGAGGGAATGTTTTGATTGACACATGTAATTCTACTCTGTTTTTTGTGTACAGGGTTGGCATGTTTAACATTGAAGTGCCTCATTAAATCACATTTTAGCAAGGGCATATACTTTATAGATTTTGATCATTATTTTGAAATACAGAAAGAAAATATTTCTGAACCTGAAAATATTGCTGCTTTCATGAAATTGAGAGCATTACATACATGTAATAAATTTATAAAATACTTGGTAAAGGTCACGTACTTCAACTTGAGCCCAAATATTAGAAATTTTAAAGGAATCAATTTAATAGCTACCCATTTTATACGATATAAACTGGGTTGGGGCAGTTTACGCTTTATAAACCGCGAAGCGGTTTATAAAAAAGCATAAACTGTTTCAACCCAGTTTATATCGTATAAATTGGGTAGCTATTAAATTCATTCCTTATAATTTAATTTTCATTCATTTGGTGTAAGAAAAAAAGATGATTGTCCTTAAAAAATGACTTCAATTTGTACAAAATTTGAATGTAACGTCAGGCGGATCGATATGTTTTTGACGCAAGTCATTGTGACGTAGGCAACCCATTTTATACGATATAAAGTAAATTTTTTATCCAATCAAATACAGCGTTACAACCAGAATTAAATTATAAACTAATAAAATGCGAATCAATTTAAAGCAGCAGCATTTTCCATAACTACAAGATATGTAGAAACAATTTATTACTTAAGTTTTTAATTTGAATGAATGATTGATTGTATGTTGTTTTACGTCCTGTTCGAGAATTTTTCACTCACATATAGAGAAGTCACCATATACCGATGAAGGGCTTCAAATTTAGACCTTTACTTAGCACTCAGGGCCATTGAGCAGTGGGGGTTCTTTATCGTGCCATCGCCTACCTTGACACAGGACCTAGGCTTTTAAGGTCTCATCGGAAGGACCCGCAACTTTCACTTCAAAGTTCCGAGCGTTTGGCGAGGAAACAGTTGCTACCTATTTTTTATCGACTGAGGTCAGCCGTGGGAGTGATTCGAACAAACGACCTTCTGATCACGGAGCGAGCGCTCTACCGACTGCATGAGCTACTGTGGCGGCCTAATTTGAATGCGGAAGGTTAAGATAACGAAGAGTGATCGATCTAAAAAAAAAATTCCAAAGACAATACAAATCTGTGAAGAGAGCATAAAACACGGACCCCTAAAAATTCCAGGTGGGATCAGATGTTAGGAGGAGTAAGCATCCTTTCCGACCGGTCACACCTTCCGTGATCTCTGTGTATTGATTAGGTAGACGAAACGTCCAGTAGTCAAATTCAGAATAAAATCAAAGGTCTAACAATTGGTATGAAACACGTCAGATAAAATTCAACGCAATGATAGGTTATATTTGCTAACAAAGTCATTATAACGACCATAGAATTTACGAAATGCTGACTTAAAAGATGTTGCTGAAATCCCTGTAATATCAACTTATCTGTCAGTAGCCTGTCTCGGTTTAAAAATTGATCATACTCGGAGCATGCTCTTGAGTATCGAATAAGCTGGGAGATGCACAATAAACACCATATGCAGGTGAAAACGATATATTACCGGTACTACATAAATAAGGAAAGTTGACGATGGAAAAGCTGAAGTCATCTCGTTTGTCATACAATTTAGTTGTAAGTTGGTCCTTGCCGTATAGAGTCAGTGAAACATCCAAAAATGATACAGATGTGGCAGACTCTGTGGTGTTTTTTTTAATTTCAAGTTCACTGTGATATATTTATTGATTGATTGTTTGTTTGTTTGTTGTTTAAAATCCCTCTCGAGAATTTTTAACTCATATGGAGACGCCATCACTTGCCGGTGGAGAGCTGCAAATTTTGACCTATACTCGACACTGAGGGCCACTGAGCAGTGAGAAATCTTTTTCGTGCCAGCACCTACTGCGACACGGGATCTCGGTTTATACGGTTTCATCTGAAGGACCGGTCTCCACGTCCCACAGTGGGATTCGAACCCGCGACGTAAGGATCAACTCCTTACTCCGCGACTCTAGAGCAAACGCTCTAACCACTGCGCCACGCGGGCGACCAGATTTGAAGTTAATATTTTCTAAATATTCAGCATAATATAATGACTAATATGTTGCTAGAACATGTCACACAAAAATTATTATAAATGCATGTTTAGAAACTTCTTTTATCTGGAAGTTATAAAAACTACTATCTTTTGGAGGACGCGTTTGATTGACACACATCCTTGCACCTTCAGGAAGTATATTTTAAGAAAAGAGAGAAAGCAAAATCAACCCACCATTATTGTCTGTTTGTGCCCAGTGATGTGTCCAGAGTAAACAACTTGAACACAAGTAAAACGTAAAGATTAACAATAATAGAGCTCGTGACAGTGTTTACAAACACAGCGCAGCACTGTTAAGGCGTACTTCGAAGAAATCAACAGAATATATACGTGCATAAATACATACCTTTTTAGACTGAATTTATTTTTGTAAAGGTACTATATTATCTTATGACTTTAACATTCTTTGAAATAACATTGTATACCCCGCTCTGTACTGAATTTGGTTTGGTCACGTTATTTGATAGTCACGTGATAAATGCATGTAATGTGTACTGTATGTAGGTCACAAACAAATTTCAATATTGCAAGGGCATGCCTTAGTTAAAATTAAAAATTAAAGTAATAGATTGTTTCAACATAACTTGTAGTTTATGGAAAGTGCTGCTGCCTTAGAAGGAATTCGCATTTTATTAGCTTAAATTTCAAGTTATCTGGCTAACGTCGAAATATGTGTGACCTTTACCAAGTATTTTTTGTATTTATTAAATTATGCTATCGATTTAAGGAAAGCAGCAGTACTTTTCAAGTTAAGGAATACGTCCGTTATGTGTATTCAAAAAATGGTCAAGATCTATCAAGTGTATGCCCTTGCGAAAAGGCGATTTAATGAGGCACCTCGGCGTGAAACAGGCACACCCTGTAGACAAAAACACGGTAGAATTAATTCAATACCTTCTCCCGATATTTTTTAAACAAACGTTTCAGATTTGTATTAATGGTCTACCTAAGATTTGCAAATAATATTCTGTTTAATAATAAAATGCATTTTTCACTCTGAAAAAATTACTTGATCCGCCTCTCACTGCACATAAAATGCGTCAAACTTTACCATGATGGCGTCATGTCGACAAGTACATTGCGATCAGTGACTTGTTTATATCTTGTTGTGTGGGATTTAACTAGCGACAAAAATGAATGCAGTGGTAAGTTTTGAAGTAGTTCATTACTCTTATGCAGTTTAGATTCGCAAATTATTTCATTTTCTGTTATTGTGAGGAATTGCTATATTTGTGTGATGTCACAGTAAACTTTTCCCGTATAAATTAGGCCCCACCCCCTTTATGCAGCCTTAACAGAGCTGCGAGGGGTTTGACATAATATTATGAAGAATGTTTATTTAAGAAATTTTCATGCAAGTACATTTCATTAAACTGAGACTATTTTTAAATAAATGTAGAAATTTATAATTGGAAACAAAAATGGCAATGCAACTGTGTCCATGCCTCTTTAAGCTTTTAACCTAATGGGCTTTGGACATTGAAGTGTTTCAAAACACCTGTACGAATCTTTTTTAATTATAAAATCAGATAAATTCTTTCTCTTCGTGATTAATCACTTTCATCAATCAACATCTTTAGCTACTTGATGAACGTCAAAAACAAAAGGCAGAAAACTCAATTTTATTTCTACCAAATTTTCTTAATAGGAAAATTACTTTATATTTGTTCTTTTATTGCTTTTGATTTTATATATATATTACATAAACAACATTTCAACACTGTTTTGATCACGTCCCTGATATCAACCCCCGGATGGTCTCGTTCCGCGCCCTACGGGCTAGAGCAGATCCCAACCTCTCGAGCTGATACCAGGGCAGATATCAGGGCAGAAATCAAACATAATTGTAATTTCTATCTGTCGATGTACCACGTTTTACACCTTTGAAAATAGGACAGTACATATTAAAGTTCAAATCTTTCATAATAAAACCTTCCTCTAATTAAAGGTTCATTTCCTTAATTCGAAGTAAATGCTTTCATGCATGTCATTTTGAATTGAAAGAAGTCAGTATTTTTTAGTTGTTAAACATTTGTTACACAAGTTACAGATTAACAAAATACCTGCATTATGTACGAGTCCTCATTTTGTAATCAGCAATTTTTCCAAGTACGATAAAAGAGAAAACAAGTGGTTTTCAGAAAATTAACTTTCGGTTTGGTCCTAGAGCACACATTTAAAAACGTAAATTGATTTAAAGGTAAATTATTTTCCAAAAGACATTTTAAATACTTTTCTTACGCTGTGTGGAAGGAAGAAATAGATCATGTAATCAATATCGTTGTTGATGCATCCTTCTAGAAATCGTTCTATTCAGAAATACATGAAGCTTAATTAAAACCTGTATCGAGGAGAAGTACGTTTAAGGCCACCTACATGTGTAT